ATTTATAAATGTATGAATCATATGGTTAAAAACTGACTTTGAAAAATAAATCTGTTCATTTTTTTCTTATAAAAGCCTAAATAAAATAAAAATATGGTGGTAATATTTGACAGTGTAACTGTACTAACAGCAGCACACAGCTCAATAAATACAAAGTAAGAAGTTAATATAAACAGACAAATAAAGAGACAAACTCTTCATGCGACAGAGGTGGATCTGTAAACGGCAGCAGCCCAGCAGCGTCCCTGAAGGATCCAGGTCGGTTCGGGTCGGTTCGGTTGGGTTCGGGTCGGGTCGGGTCGGGCTGCACGCGGACAGGAGCTCGGCACTAAGTGAAGCTCATGGACACTGTGTGCTCCAGCGCTTTGCGGCGCAGGGACGCGATGCTCGTCCCTCTCCAGACGTCACTGTCCGGGGAGCTGCAGAGCTGCGGAGAGCCGGTCACGTTGGTCGGACCGGACAGGGAGGCGGGCACCATCCCGGGGAAGGTGGGCTGGTAGAGGTGCGACTGCAGCCCGGAGCCGTTCGACGACATGTTGGACAGGGCCATGGAGCTGGGCGGCGGGCCCGCGCCCAGGCTGCACTGGGACAGGGACTGGGCCATGGCCTGCTGGCGGCCCAGGGCCGGCGGCAGCTGCAGCTGGGACACCCCGGGCATGGCCGCCGTGGCCCAGCGCGTGTCGTTGGCGTGGAAGGAGCACAGGCTGTCGCCCATGGCGGCGGCCGCGGCGGCGGCGGACGGAAACTGCGGCAGGCCGTGGTGCGTCGGCAGGAGGGTCCCCGGAGCCCGGAACACGTTGGTGGTCTTCTTGCGCTTCTTCCACTTGGCGCGTCGGTTCTGGAACCAGACCTGCGGCCGGAGACAGACAGGAAGTCACGAGGAGCAGATCACAGCTGCGGGGTCATGACATCATCATCATCACCATCACCATGGCAACAATAAACCAGCTGAAGGAAACAAGGATTTCTGTTGATTTGAGCAGAAATCAAAAAATACTGTTTCTGCTTCTTCTTTCTGTCAAACATGGTTTAAAATGAAAACACACACACACACACACACACACACACACACACACACACACACACACACACACACACACACACACACA